CAGCAAAGTCCTTAGACAGTCGGACACCCCCTCCCCCCCGGGAAATGCTGCACTTCTGTCTTCAATTAAAAGAAGAATGTGCGGGTACTGAATCTATCCAGATGCAGCAAACCTGGAGCTTTCAAAGGGTGAGAAAAGTTAAGAGAAATAACCTCAAGTCCTTGGGGAGATCACAGCATGCAGAAGATAATTCTTCCCAACCAATGTTTAAAGTGGGGAAGGGTGTCATGGACCCCCAAATCACTCCACTTATTTTCCAGTGGCTGAAAATCATCCCAGGATGAAGCAGGGTCATGCTAGGAGAGTCAAACATTAGGCCATGTGTTAATATTTTTTACTTCTTGGTAATGAGTAATAACTGACTGTAATGACCTCCAGATGTTAACACCTGATTCAAGCTTGTCAACAGGCAGTTGGCCCAGCCTTTTTTTACACCTTAAGATGCTAAATGGACCAGAGGCTAAATTGTGCCTGGTCTAATGGTAAAAAAGAAGAAGAACAAAAACACCAAAACCCATCCCACTTCCATGTTTTCCTCCCACTCTGAACACTGATTCCAGTCCATTGCTAACCAGCAGTGGCCAACACTGGCCTGGCTGGGAAGGGATAGTATGAATTCACATCAGCAGAGTGTGGTAAAGTTGCCATTAAAGGAGGATTAGACACCCATCAATGGCTAGTACCCACAATGAATGGAACCACACCAGATATCAATATCAGGCAAGGTGGCAAAACTGCTTTATGTTTTTCTTAAAGGTGTATGCCCGTGTATTATGTTTTGATGTGATAACCCATTCTGATTGGGAACTGCAGCTTTTTGTGACTTTGGAGGAGGCTTGTAGCTCATCAAAAAAATTTTTTGCAGCGTTCATTGAAGAGAACTTTGGATTAAAACTTTGGTATGTGGCAACCTTGTGCTGAAAATTATTGTTGAACTCCCTGAGGAAGATTCAAAAACAGAAGGATATCTGGACCTCTGTTACTTTAAGGAGTCCTCCCTTTTGAAACTTTTATTTAACAGAGGAGGACTAGTATTAAAGGTTGTGCAATAGCTTTTGAGATTCTTGGAGATGATTTTTGATATTTTTGATTAAGATGATTTATTATATATGTAGAAATTATTGTAAAAATATTTTTCAAAAAATATAAAGTTATTTATGATATGTTATAATCAGCTGTGCACGGTACTTGTTGTATGTTGGTTTCCCCATGCTGCTCAGCAAAGGCTGAAGACTTCCTCCAGCTTAAGTGACTCTTCTGCTAGAGGAAGACTTGGAGCTCCTGAGGTTACAAAAAGGCTTCACTGAGCAGAGGGGTGGAATACAAGTCACTTCAGGATCCCGCTACTCCCCAGCACGCTAGCCAAGAGGCTCCAGCATATCCAGCAGGGTCCCATGAGCCCTTCACTTTGTAATGCCATCTTCGTTTCCCTCCTCCCCAGTCTCACTTTCAACGACCGGGGTAGGGTTCTGTTTGTTACATAGACACCTTTCTGTTTTTTAATTAAACATACGCTCTAGAACATTAATTGGCTTCTCTCCCTCAGGAGGGCCTTCTCATGCTTTCGTGATACAAATAAGCATTTAAATAAGCAATCCACAATCAAAGACTGCCGTTAAAGTTTATTTTATCAACGCTATTGTTAAATTACACAATCAAAGTCAGTGGAACCCCTCCCTTCCCTTTTTCATTGTTGTAAATCTACACAATTAAGATAGCAGTCTACAATGGAAATCCAAATAGTTATGACAAAATTGTAGCCTTATATGCATACACCCCCCTATATACAATGAACAGTATACACAAAGAAAATTAAACTTTTTTTTTTTTGTAAACCATGCACACCACAGCATAAAAAACAAATGGCATCTCTCACATCCTGCGGGGCTCTTTGAACTGACAGGGGCTGCATGCCCAGATCAGGGCGGCACCTTCCAAATCCAAGAGCTGATTGTTTCTCCCTGTAGAAACCCAAATTCCACTGGAGATGCTATACTCCATGTATGTAAAATTACTTCTTGCGATGATAAAAACACTTGAGTTTCAGTGTTTTTCACCCTTCCCCCTAAATTTCAAGGCTAGCATACCATCCAAGGGTACAAATTAACTGATACATCCAGCTTTGGACAATTTAGGTGGCGAGACATTCTGTTTGGTTCCACCCCTCAACCCCCTTTCCCTCCATCCTTGCTTGATTAATGTCACTGATGAAAGCCAGGGGTGCAAACGCTGCCTCCCTCAAGAGTCAATATGGGTGATGCAAGGAAATGCTGTTTTCAGATGCCTCAGTACTGATAGGTAAGAAGCTGTAAAAACATCCTAGTCAGAAACACAGCTGCCAAGCACATAAAAGGAAATTAACATCCATTGTCATGCTTGGAAATCTACCAGGGTAGGTAGACAGGCTTCTCAGCTTCCTTTATCTCTGTGAACTTCACAAGATTTTTGCATAGAGATTCACACTATTCAAGTACATTAACTCATCAGATCCTGGACCAGACTGGGGCGTTAAAACAGCCCAGAAACAAGGCTGGAAGGCAGGCCTATATTGCCTGTATTTTTGTGCTGGTCTATGACCTTAATAAACCATTCATTCATTCATCCATTGTTGTTGCTACGGTCCGAGCGGACTAGCCCCTGCAATGCTGCAGAGACTGCTCGGTCTTGGCTCTACTCCTTTCTGCCTCTCTAGGATAGATGCAGGAGCTGTCCCATTAAGTTACAGGGCCAGTCAACTTGAATGGATCCCTCGCTGTCCATACTGTTTCCTGATGTCAGCAGCAGGGCCTGTTTTCAAGAGCGATTCCCAGGCATTGACTTGGGAGCGCAACTGACTGCAACATGCTTAGGACTATTGCTTCGCTGAAGTCAGTGGCATGCGGGGGAGAAGGGGGTGTTTCTTAAGACGGCTTTCTTAAAGACAGACAAATGATTGAGACCGGTAAGGTGGTCGCTTATAATGGACTAAGTGTATGCTTGGGTAAATGTGCATTCTTTCAAATTAAACAAAGCTATTCGATAACACTAATTACGGGAAGCCTGCTGTTACTGGTTCTAATTGCCACACTGCCCCTCCATGACATAAGCATATATTTTGAAAAAGGAGGGGAGGCATACCTGAATGGCAGAGTGAATGCACAGAATCTCAGAGTCCATTCTTGGCATCTCCATTTAAATAAAAACCCGGGTAGCTGCACTGAGATGGAGCCTCCACTTATAACACTGGAAGGGCCCTGCCAGTCAGAGTAGACAGAGTTAGACAGACCACAGTTTTCTGGTTCATCTTTGCTGTCTGTCTGTTTTCTGGGCACAAGAAATCAGCAGAAGCCTATCAAAAGGTTAAAATGATATTTTAGGCACCCATGGCTGGCAAGGACTGCCCCTGAAGGCATGGCATCATGCGGCTTTCAGCCTCTGACAACTGCCCTCCAAATGCAATGGGTTGGATCTTACACAGCACCAGCAGAGGGTGCTGATGGAACTCTCCCCATCGACTGAGTCTCAGGAAGGTGATGCTGAGAACTGGGGAGCCCAAATGGACACAAAGCCACACAACATGGATGGTCTTACGCTGGCAGTGCACACAACCCAACCCAGTCCCTGCAGTATTATATTTCTTGGGGTATCAGATTCATCTTCTCGTCTCACTTTTATTTAGGACTCACTCAACAAAAGCAATACTTTTTTGGGGGGGCAGAAGAAAAGAGCAACAGTCCAGTAGCACCCTAGAGACTAACAAAACTTGTGGCAGGATGTAAACTTTTGTGAGTCACTGCTGAAGAAGTGAGCAGTGACTCACGAAAGCTCCTACCCTGCTACAAATGTCTTTAAGCTGCTACTGGACTCTTGCTTGTTTCTACTGCTATGGACAGACTAACACAGCTACCCACCTTTTTTTTGGCAGATGAGAGGATCGCTCCCACATCTGTATTCATAAGTAAAGCACAATGTACCTGAAGCAGACATAGTTGTGTGCAACATGAACCATAACGGGCATACATATCTCCATCCCATTGCAAGATGATGGAAAATGCGTCCCTCCTGTATATTCTGCATTGCAGATGGGAATCCCATTGGATGCCATGCACCTACAAGGACAGCTGCACACTTAAATGTGTATGTGATTTCTAATCCAGCGGGGGAACTCCATAACAAATCCTGCCTCCACACATGGATTTCCCTTGCTGGGGATGGGGACAATAAAGAGATAACATGCAGATCTCAGCAGCAGAAAGTTCTGCAATTTTATTCTGGAGAACACAGGTATCTCTGCAGATGACAGCATGTGACCACTCTACATTTCTTAATATCTTCTATTGTAGATGCATTATTTGATTTTGTTGGTTTTAACTTATCCATTATGATGTTGTTTTAGCATTCAGAGTTGCTGTGAGACCCTCTGGGTGAGTGGCAACTTAAATTTTGTCAGGGTTCTTACAACTGGGGTCATTCCAAGGTTGTGTCTCAGCTTCATGTTATGTCCAAAACTGCTCCGCCTACTAAGGGATCAGACACACACACACACAGAGGAAAAAAATCTGCATTTTGTGTATCACAGTAAATATGAGAGAGCAGGTTCAAGCACACCCCCTCTCGCTGATCAGAAATTCTTTATAATCAATATTGCCTATATTGGAGAAGTTTTTTTTCTGGATGGCAATACAGAAATGTTAGACATTTCCAACTTAACTGCTAGCCATCAAGTCCTGTTAAGAGGAAGCAGTGTGCATTTCAAATTGCAAGAAGAATGGGTAAAATTAGAGCAGAATACAGAGGGATAATTTGGCTATGTTCCTTTCCTTAAAACACATACACACATAAAAAAATCCCCTACATCTCCAGAATGTATTAAAATTCTATTGCCTGAAAGAAGCCTATGATAGCTTTTTCTGGCATTGTATTAGTTTGAGACGAATGCTCTCCATATCACTGGGATAATACTTTCCCCCCTCCAACACAAAACAAACAAGCTTGAAATCCATTTAACAGCAGTAGGCAGATTTTTAAAAAATATTTATAATTACTAGACAAGCTCTTTCTATTCTTCGTTAAAAGCTGATATACGCAAACATCAGTCAACGTTTTCTTCTACAGATATCCCATTTGCTGCCATTTATATTTGGTACGTGCCATACACAGATGGCAGTCATTGAAAATATATGAAGGAAATAAAACCAAATATCAAGGGTGGGGGGGAAAGAGATATTCTGCTGAGACAAATCATTTTGCATGTACGGTATTAATGCCTCCCTACTAGAAACCAGTTAGATTTCCCCCATCGGGCTTAGCCAAGAACTAGTAATTTGTTCATGAGTTTCTTTAACTTCCAAATGGCAGGGACGAGAGCTGTGACTGCTCTAAAGACTTTGCCAAATACAGGAATGTAGTATGATGGGGGAGGGGGTGCAGTTTGTTGCCCCAAGGGGACAATTTGAAACGGGACTCACTATGGCCATTCCCTCAACAGCCCCCACAGGCTGCATCCAGTCAGTACAAGCTCACTGTAGACCTTATCAGCACTTCCGGTATTAAACTGAACTGGCCTTCAGTCAAATGGATGGTGTAAAGGACATAGGGGTATAGGGCTCCACCGTAGAGATACATGAGCCCCCAATGAGACAGCTTTCAGTTTGGTACAGGAAGTTCTGGCTGTTTGTTACTATTCTTTCTATCTCATCTCTAAAAATATTTCGGGGATTTCCCTGGAGGGCCACAGAAGACAACCCGCCACAGACATCTAAAGAGTTATTTCCTCAGCATCCTAGGCCTTGACACGTTTTTGTTTCCATAAGCCCAAAGAAAGTTTCGGATAGCAATATTGGGTTTTATTTGCTCCACTTAATAATAGACCGATATTATTTATTTTTTTTAAAGGGACAGATCTGAGACACACCGAGATTAAAGGTTAACCCACATACGGTACAACATTGACTGCAAAAGCATTCGGCGAAGGCCACAGGAGAACTGTTTGCATTCTTCAACAGCTAAAGAAGCAGAGTTTGTCTCTTCTGCAATTTGCAATTCTGTTCTGGCTTCCAAATCAGTACTCTGAAAAACAACACAACATCTATTACCGCCACTGCTCCACATTCCCTATGTAATCAGTAGTTGAATTCGTGGTGGTCTGTTCTTTGTTGTGAACCTGTTTGGCCTTTTTCCTTTGCTCCTGACGCTTCCTCCTGGCTTCCTGGTGTTCCTTCTGTCTCATGTACTGATACCTTTGCAGAAAGAGATCTTTTGCATAATCGTATAGCTCCATGTCTAAAAAATTGAGGGCCTCAATGCGCCTCTGAGTCTCTTCATCAATGTCTACACTGGAGGCCCTTGTGCTATTATACTGTGTGAATGGCGAGATGAAGTTCATGTTAAATGTTTTCTCAAAGAGATACTGAGTCTTCCTTTGAAATTCCGTCAGGCCAAAGAAGGCCATGCGTTTCAGGTTCTCCTTGGCACTGTCTAGGAGAACCTTGTTTCGCTGCTCTTCTGGCATGACGGACAAATTGTAACATCCCACCAGGCTGAGGTCGGCCAACATGCGAACCTGGCGATTGTTGGCTAGATTGTAGGAACAATCCATGAACTCCTGCAGAGAACAGCCTGACCAGTCATCTCCCGAGTAACAGCTGGGCAGCTCTTCAGAAGTGGGCGATCTCCCATCGCACACATGCAAGGAAGCCTTCCAAGTTGCTCCTCTTTGGACGTGCCGCCATTCGCTCAAGTACCGGGACACAGGGTCCCGCAGGATTGTAATGTAGTAGAAATTCCTGAAAGAGGGGGGGGGGGGGGGGAAAAAGAGATTTTTTAAAAACAGCACCAACTTGTATTTTTTTTAAATAGCAGCTGGCTACAAATCTGGGAAGAACTGACTAAATGCCTTGAGAAACTCTAGCATCATGTGAGTTTCCTCCATTATTTAAATCTATTTTGCAGACGCTCTCTAAAATTCAACAAGAGTTCCATACTGTACTCGGCAGACTGATGACTTGGACAAGAATGGATTCAACCCCCAATACAGACATGGTGGCCAAGAGCATCTCACTGCATGACCCCCTGCCAAGCAACTGTGTAAAATAAAAGCTGAACTTTGTAAAGTGCTTAAAGCCACAGGTAACTGGCATGTAATTCTTACTGTGTGAAGTCCTTGAGTGGCTGGGGGAAGGGGGAAATAACCACTCAGAAAATAGTCAAAGGCCTTTCTAAAATGGTGGTCTGCATGAAACACTCATGCTAGGGGTGGGAGAAGCTGGCCCCACTAGCACTCAGCCACTGCTGCACTTCTGTCTTTGGATGCACCTACAGCCCGCTGCTGGCCATGTGTGACAATTTCTTGCCTCTCTGGCTAAAATGAAGTGTAGAAAATAGCCAGAGACCAGCCTAAACAGATTCCCAAGGGAGGGGGGAGTTCAACAACTAAAAAGGCCCTGCCTGAGACATCTATTACTTAGAAATAAACTGGCAAATTACAGGTAAACCTAGATTTCTGCTTCTTATATTGCAAAAAGCCACTAGATGTCACTGTTTCTCTGAAAACTGACAGCAAATGGCTTTTCCTAGAGAGAGCAGTGAAAGCAAGCAACCAGAAAATCTGAGGTAGCTGTAACGTATGTGCGATGTTTCTACCTTTATAATTTAAAATATAGTGAAACGCCAAAAAGAAACAGAGTGGAATTACATTTAAAATGTAAGAGAATGTGCGAGAACACACCTGGCCTGGTCATCCAGCCAGCACTTTCTTTCTTTTTTTTTTGCATTTTGTGTGTGTGTGTATGCGTGTGCCCCTGTGCCTGGAAGTCATGGTGCCTCTGGCAACTCCCACCAGGGCATGGAGGATGCTCAGAACACTGGCTTGATAGCCTGCCTCTGCCTCCTGACCCTAGTATTCTTTGGAGGTCTCCCCTCCAAATACTCGCCAGGGTCAGCCCTGCTTAGCTTCCGAGATCTGATGAGATCGGGCTTGCCTGGGCTATCCAAGTCAGGGCGCCAGCACACAAAATCTGAACAGCAGATGACAAAGATATTCTTTTTTCCCTATTCTCTTTAACCTTTAGGCAAAACCATATAAAAGCTGCGGTGGCTCAAGTGGTTAAGACGCTGAACTGCAGGCTGTGGAAGGTTGGTAGTTCAGGAGTTCGAGACCCGGGTGTGCCGCATGACGGAGTGAGCTCCCGTCTCTAGTTCCAGCTCCTGCCAACCCAGCAGTTCGAAAGCAAGAAATTGCAAGTAGATAAATAGGTACCACTTCAGTGGGAAGGTAACAGCGTTCTGTGCGCCTTGGTGTTTAGTCATGCCAGCTACATGACCACGGAAACGTCTTCGGACAGCGCTGGCTCCTCGGCTTTGAAACGGAGATGAGCACCGCAACCCTAGAGTCGGATTCGACTGGCTTTCGAGCAAGGGAACCTTTACCTTTACTTTAAAACCATATGAGGGGCAGAAGCCACAGTGTTGGTTATTTGCCATTAACTGTATCTTGTACTCCAAGGAGCTCAGTTCAGCTGATGAGGTGGAATCCCCTCCTTTTATCCTCATAAAGCTCTGAGGCTGTTAGGCTGATACCAGAAAAAGCCATCTAGCTAAGGCCACCAACGAACTTCAAGGCCACCTTAATAATGTGAGTGCATAGTTCTTAGTGATCTGCACTTCCCTGGGAAAGGCAAGATGTTTTGGTTTCCTCATCTCACCCCACCATCAGCAGTAGGGACTTGTGGGGACATGCAAAATGCAATGACAGTCATGTTGTACCTCTGAACACACATGAGGCTGCCTTACATTGAACCAGACTGTTGGTTCATCAAGGTCAGTGCTATCTACTCAGAGTTTGAGCTCTGTCTGAAGCAGAGATCTTTAACATAGCCTGCTGCCTGATCCTTTTAACTGGAGATGCCGAGGATTGAACCTGGGACTTCCTCCATGCGAAGCAGAGGCTCTACTGAGCCACAGCCCCGTCACAAGCAAAGAATCCCATGTTTCTTAATGCTTTATTTTTACTACATGTTCCTGGGGAGAAAGACATGGGGGGAGGGAAGTCAGGCATCCCCCCCACCCCCGGGCATGACACCGGCTCCCTCCCCCATATAAAACCCAACACCGCAGCTACTAAACCACATTTGAGTCTCAAGAAATTCAGATTCTTGCCACATCACTACCTGATACAAGATAAACACCAGAAGAGTCTGGGAGATAAACTCTCTCACAAGTCACTATCATGAAAACCAAGATTTCCCCAGTGGCTATTTTGGGGAGTCTTGTGGTTAATTTCTAAACACAGAGACGATTCAAGGCTGATGCTTCCCTGAAAAGTTCTTATTCGTATTCCTGGATGTGTGTGGGCATGCAAGCACTGCTTAAGAGAATCTGGGTCTCCATGTTCACATGTACAAAAAGACTTTTAAAATAACTTTTTTATCTGGGCCAGAAATTCATTAGTAGGGATGCAGAAAGCCTGTAGGATTCTGCTTCTTGACAATCTCAGTTCTCGGGTAAACCAAGCCCCTTGCCCTCATAATTGGTTGGGGCAATACATTCAAAGCATGCATACCCAATGCTTGCTAAAATCCTCCGATGCCAGAGGGTTAGCTTAATGTATTTCCAGCAGTGAAGCAGAGGTTTTAATGCCTCCTAAAGGTGATTGCAGGAGGGAAGGGAGCATGGGAGAGCACAATCTTGTCAGATCCTAGAAGCTAAGCAGTACTTGGGGTCATTAAGATTGCTGGTGAAAAGATCAACAACCACAGATATGCAGACGATACCACTCTAATGGGAGAAAGTGAAGAGGACCTAAAGAGCCTCTTGCTCAAAGTAAAAGAGGAGAGCGCAAAAGTGGGCTTGAAGCGCAATATAAAAAAAACCCTAAGATCATGGCATCCAGCCCCATCACTCCTTGGCAAATAGAAGGGGAAGTCGTGGAAGTAGTGACAGACTTCACGTTCCTGGGATCCCAGATCACCACAGACTGTGACTGCAGCCATGAAATTAAAAGACGCTTGCTCCTTGGGAGGAAAGCGATGGCGAACCTAAACAGCATGATAAAAAGTAGAGACATCACTCTGCCAACAAAAGTCCGCATGGTCAAAGCAATGGTATTCCCAGTAGTCATGTATGGCTGCGAGAGTTGGACTATAAGGAAGGCCGAGCGCCGAAGAATAGATTCTTTTGAACTATGGTGTTGGAGAAGACTCTTGAGAGTCCCTTGGACTGCAAGAAGATCAAATCAGTCAATCCTAAAAGAAATCAACCCTGACTGTTCCCTGGAAGGCCAGATAATGAAACTGAAGCTCAACTACTTTGGCCACCAAATGAGAAGGGAGCACTCACTGGAGAAGACCCTGATGCTGGGAAAGATTGAAGGTCAAAGAAGACGGGGATGGCAAAGGATGAGATGGTTAGACAGTGTCATAGATGCAACGAACATGAAATTGAGCCAACTTCAGAGGACAGCAGAAGACAGGAGGGCCTGGCGGGAGCTGGTCCATGGGGTCGCGAAGAGTCGGACTCGACTGTGCGACTGAACAACAACAACTTGGGGTCAGGAGGACTTGGACAGGAGACCACAAAGGAAGGCTCTGCAGAGAAGTGATTTTAGGATTGTAGTGGACAGCTCGATGAAAATGTCAGCTCAATGTCTTGCAGCAATAAGAAAGGGAAACTCCGTGCAAGGGATTATTAGGAAAGGGTCTGAAAATAAAATGTAATGGTGCAGCCATGTAATTTTGTAATGGTGCAGCCATTTCCAGAATACTGAGCACAGTTTGGCTGCAACATCTCAAAAAAGGTATTGCAGAACTGAGAAATGTACAAAAGTGGCCAAACCAAGAGATTGTATATTGCCTATGAGGAAAGATTAGGAGTCTGGGGCTTCATACTCAGAGAACAGATGACTAAACCGGGCACATCATAGCGTTTTATAACATCATGCATGGGGTGAAGAATGTTGATAAAGAGAACCTTTTCTACTTCTCCCATAATACTAGAACTCAAGGGCAGGGCACCCAGGGAAGTTGATGGGCAATAGATTCAGGACTGAAAAAAAGAAGTTATAACTTTACTTGACTAATTAAATTGTGGAATTCACTGCAAGTGGGTGTAGTGAGGTCTACTAAAGTTGGTTTTTTAAAAAAAGGATTAGGAGTAATGAATGGGTTAGGCAGCAATTTTTCTCCAGGCCAGTTTGGCGAGGGATCCTGGAGGTTCCTTGCCATCTTCTGGGCATGGAACAGGGGTCACTGGGAGTGTGGGGCTGTGGGGGAAGGTATTTGTGAATTTTCTGCATTGTGCAAAAGGTTGGACTAGATGACCCTGGATTCTGTGAAGGAGACGTGGCTACCAGCCACGGTGAATAAAGATAACTTTCACATTCAGAGACAGTAGACCTCTGAACAGCCTCTATGTCCTGCTTGTTGGCCCTCCATGGCTACTTGCTGACCAGTGTGTGAGACAGGATGCTGGACGGGATGGACCATTGGTCTGATCCAGCAAGACACCACTTTCAATACGTTATACAAACGAAGAGGAACCAAGCATATTTGCATAATTTAAACAGTTCATAGAATTTAGCTTTAAAAAAAGGATTAGGAGTAATGAATGGGTTAGGCAGCAATTTTTCTCCAGGCCAGTTTGGCGAGGGATCCTGGAGGTTCCTTGCCATCTTCTGGGCATGGAACAGGGGTCACTGGGAGTGTGGGGCTGTGGGGGAAGGTATTTGTGAATTTTCTGCATTGTGCAAAAGGTTGGACTAGATGACCCTGGATTCTGTGAAGGAGACGTG